AAATAACTTTAAAATGTGAAATCAAAGTTGTGAAAGCATTTTAGCTCAAATACTTAGCTGCATAGCTTTTTGACAGGTTCTTCCTGTTTATGCTTGAGAATCACTACATTTAGGACATTTGTCCTAATCTGTGATGTTTATACTAGCCAGCACATGAAAATGTGACATGCTTTTTTATGTTTTCTTTTACTGGTAACAGACAACTTGTATTTCATGTGATATGTGAAGCTTGAATTGCATTTGAAATGCCTTTTTTTTTTTCCCCCTACAAAAAATTGGCTAAAGTACAGGTAAAACACCCCGTAGAGTATTTTGCACTATGCAGTTGCAAAATTAGCATGGTTTTCACTTAGTGGTCAAGGAAAGGTGCCCTGGTACCTAACCCAAGAGTAATACTATATGGTCACTTTTGGAGTCTTTTAATTGTGATGATGTTAAAGGCTCAAGGTTTTTTTTATCTTCATGCAGTCTGTGCATGAAGGTAAAAAACCTATGTGCAGCAGTGCCCCCAGCCCCCTCAATACTTACCTGAGCCTCATCGAGATCCAGCGATGTGCATGACAGCCTTGGTTGTCCTGGGTCTTTGCTGCCTCGTTGGCTGAGTCAGCAAGTGGGAGTCATTGGCTCCCTCTGATGTCAATCACATCAAGTCAGCCAGTGAGAGGAGAGAGGGGGTGGGGCTAAGCCATGGTTCCATGTGTGAATGGACACACGGAGCAGCGGGTACCCCCCATAGCAAGCTGCTTGCTCTTAGGGCACCCGACAGGAGGGATCGGCTAGGAGAGCCTGTGGGGCAAACGAGAAGAGGGGGATCCAGGCTGCTCTGTGCAAAATCACTGCACACAGTAGGTAAATGCAACATGCTTGTTTTTATCCAAAAAAAAAAACAAAAAAAAAAACCTTTACAGTAGAATGGCTTTAGTAGTATAATTGTGATGGGCATTTTTTACTGTGGTAATGTTGGCTCTTTCATGGTTGCAACAGTTCTGGGATACCACAGGGGTAAAAGCTTTCTTGGCTGCAGTGACGTTGGGGTAGAGGCTCTTTCCTAGTTGGAGTGGCCTTTTCATGGCTGCAGCAGCTTTGCCAGAGAAGGCCTGTTCCTGGCTTCAACAGCACTGATGAGTTGACTATTTCCTGGCTGCATTGGTGCTGGAGTGACATTGGTGGGTGGACCTTTTCCTGTCTTCAGCGTCGCTGCTGTGTAGGCACTTTGCTAGGTGCAGCGGCACTGAAGTGGAGGCCCCTTTGCTAGGTGCAGTTGCGTAGTAATGGACAACAGTTGACAGGAACATATATCTGTTAAGCAAGTTACCACTGTTCTGCTTTCTTTTAGTATAATGAACTGAACTTGGGTGTGCTTTCCAAAATTTTCCAAAGCCCGCGTCCCCCCTCGCTCTCTCGCCCTTGTCCCCCCTCGCTCTCTCGCCCTTGTCCCCCCTCGCTCTCTCGCCCTTGTCCCCCCTCGCTCTCTCGCCCTTGTCCCCCCTCGCTCTCTCGCCCTTGTCCCCCCTCGCTCTCTCGCCCTTGTCCCCCCTCGCTCTCTCGCCCTTGTCCCCCCTCGCTCTCTCTCTGCCCTCTCGTCCCCCCTCGCTCTCTCGCCCTTGTCCCCCCTCGCTCTCTCGCCCTTGTCCCCCCTCGCCCTCTCTCGCCCTTGTCCCCCCCTCGCTCTCTCGCCCTTGTCCCCCCTCGCTCTCTCGCCCTTGTCCCCCCTCGCTCTCTCGCCCTTGTCCCCCCTCGCTCTCTCGCCCTTGTCCCCCCCGCTCGCTCTCTCGCCCTTGTCCCCCCTCGCTCTCTCGCCCTTGCCCCCCCTCGCTCTCTCGCCCTTGCCCCCCCTCGCTCTCTCGCCCTTGCGCCCCCCCTCGCTCTCTCGCCCTTGCCCCCCCTCGCCCCCCCCCTCGCTCTCTCTCAGCCCCGCCCCCCCTCGCTCTCTCGCCCCCCCCCTCGCTCTCCCCCCCCCCTCGCCCCCCAGAGCAGAGCCTGTAGATAACAGATTTCTCCTTGCTTCCGCACTCAGCTGAAGTGGGAGGGGCAGGGCTGAGGATATCCGGAGCATGCTGCTCCAGCTGAACTTCTCTCTTCACAATGTCTATCACAGACACAGCATAGAATAGGCAGCAGATAGCCTCTTTTGTTTACTGGGTTCAGGATCTGCTTTGTTTTCTCATGTTAGAAGAGTGCACTAATCTTTTCTTTTTAGAAAATTCACAGGGAGACATTTATCTTTCCTGTTCAAAGCAAGTTAAACGGGAGCAGGGAGACACATTTATTATCAAGCTTACAGCCCGAGTCAGATTAAATTCCTCCTTTGGCTGCTCCAAATTCACACTTGTTGGGTGAATGAAACGTGACCCTGACCTCTTCATTATGCATTTGGAGTGGAATATAGACAAAAATATCTGTAAACCTATCCTCAAGTCTTTGCCGGAAGAGGCGCAGCCTGATTTATGACAAACTAAGTCTCTAATTTGCTTGATAAATGTCTCCTATAGTGTTCTGTGAATCTTGTGTCATATTATTAATAAGGGGCATATTTATAAAGCAGTGAATGCAACATTCACTGCAGGTTAATCTATCACAGTGTTTTTGAACGGGTACCAGGCAGACACATATAGAAATATAGCCCAAAGTGTTGACACCACACCTATTAAATAGTCACCCAGCAAGTGCTGTGATCCTTTCTTTTTTTTTTTTTTTTTTCCCATGCGTAATAAAGTCCTTGAGAAAATCTTTTTTTTTTTTCTCAGTGACGACATCAATTTTGTGATTCAGACTGTGCAAATGTTTGACTGTTGGGAGACAGATATGGGGCATGTTATATAGCTTTGAAGTGTACCTGTGATTTTAAATTGACCAAAGTGCTCAATGAGAGGAGTGTAAGAGACTTGGATAAAGTGTTGTTTACATATAGTAGATTTGTCATCTGCAACTATATATCCTAGCAGTGTGACTTCCCTAAAATTGTTGTTGTCTTAGTAAATGTCTTTAACACCAGTAATGTGTACCTACACAGTCTTTTAATGTATTGCTATGGTAAATCTCTTACCTCCTGCTGCCATGGGGAAACGTCCAGGAAACAGATTTATTTCCCACTATTCTTTCTTCCCGAGGGCTACCATGGCAACAGATGATCCTTTACCCTCTTCTGTATCAATATGCATCTTGGTTATAATACAGGCTGTTGCATCATTTTGGGTATTTAATCTGTTTAATAGCTGAGCATGTAAGGTGTTACTTGGGGCGTGATTCGAGAGATTCAGCTGATCTCATACTCCTGTAGATATTGAAAGTTCTCCACAGAATGTTCTATCATGGCTGTTTACATAAAAGAAAACTGGTGAGTACATCTGTAGTGAGTACAGCTTCAAAATCTTGTGTGCTAAATGCTTTCTCAAAGGCATCATTACAGAATATGGCTTTTCTGACCTTTTACGTTCTTGAATTCATTGTATGTGTAAGTGATCCTTTGAGTCTTGTTTGCAAAGGTTTAATACACTTTATATTCTGCTTACTGGCTAGTTGTTTATTTGTATTTTGTAACCTTTAGTAGACTTCTGATTTTAGCTAGTTTAAGTTCAAATTCTGCTCATGAACAAGTAATGCATGTTACCCCACAAAAAATGAGAACAATTATCTGTGTTTTATTGCTAATATAGATCTTACAAACTGTGTACTGTCATTTTATATTCCTAGTTCCAGTTGCCCATGAATCCTTTTTCAAACTGCTCATGCCAAGCAGGGGGAAGCAAATCTGTTCTGGTGCTGTCAGTTTGTGTCCTTGGAGGCACTGCTGAAATTGCATTGACACAGAAAACCTGCATCTCCTGTAGACAGTCTTGTGGTCACACCTCCTGCTTGTGTTGATGATCATCTGTGTTCCCACAGGGAATGTACCACCTCGTCTGTGACATCATCCACTTCTGCCCCCGCTATGCAAAAGTAGAACCCAGTAGGCTGTTCTGCAGTCACATGACTGATAGTGTATAATTTGACACATTTTACAACGTGCTTTGGTTGTATTGAGTTCACATATGATTTATTATGGTATTAAGCCCAAAATAAAAAATGTAATATATTGTAGCTTACCAATCTTTAAATGTGGTGGCTGCATTGGTTTGCTTTTTTCCCCCTATTTTCACCCAGTGATCTGACCAGTAACACACTCGCTATATTAGGGTGCCTCCACTCTAGATTAATGAGCAACAGAAACACCTTTGGACAGCAGCATTGTTAAATGGGGGAAGAATAGTGTTAGATGGATTAGCTCAATGGTTGTAAATGTATAAGCTACAAAAGGACTCAAATGTGGCCCCTGACATCACCAAAGGGCTGCACATAATGTTCAGTATACTGTATGTTACACTTAATTGGATTGTCAAACTGCAGATCTAATAGAGGAAATGAGGATCAGAGAGTGATACATTTTTGGCTGGGGATGTACTGCAGAAGACAATATGAAACTGGGAATATGTTACATGAAGCTAGTAGAGATCATTGCTATTATCCCTAATCAATGTTCCCACTACAGACTGCTGAGGTCTGAGGGCTGCACATTATATACCAAGGGCTGCATTCGGCCCTTCGGCCCCAGATTGAGCACCAGGGGATTGGGAGATTTGGATACACAAATAAATTGAAGCCAAACTCCAGCTAACACTTTATTAGCATTTACTGCAACATTTTTTTTGTTCCTTTTGGGATAAAGGTTTTTCATAAATAAAAGCTGATCATTGTAAGCCTCCCATCAGTGTTAAATGGTTTGTCTCAACCCTCTGCTACATCTGCAGGGAAGCTTATTCTATTGGAAAAACAGATGTACTGGCAGGGACACCAGGTGCAAATAGAGAGTCTGAAAAAGAAAACTAATACAGCCATAAAATCTAAGAATTTGTAAGCTGCAATATATTTGCGTTTGGGTTTTTATCCTTCCTTAACCACTTCCCGTCCGGCCGTAGTATATAAACGGCTGGGCGGTGGCAGTGCAGGGGTGGGTGGCCATTTATAAACGGCCTCCCCGCCCCCTGCTTGTGCTTGCTCCCTGGGAGCGCGCAGCACCGCGATCCGGTTCCCGGTGTGTCCTCCGAACACAGTGGAACACCGATCGTTGTACGGTGATCCAATCAGTGATCACATGAGGAGTAGTAAGCAAGATGTCACTTCTGACATCATTGCTTACTACATGTGAAATCTGTGAATGATCACAGAGGTCACATGGTACAAGGCTATACACAACAGCCTTGTACCATGTGACAAGCTGTGACCAATCACAGTTCACACAGTGTTTCTCAATGGCTGCAAGAATGCAGCCATAGAGAAGGAGACATTATTGCTTTTACAGCCTTTATGGGTGTAAAAGCAATCAATTTAAACAAAAAAAAACAGAAAAGTCTTCATAACCCCCCACAAGTAGTACAGTGTCACCATGGTGACCCTGTACTGCTAGGGTGACAGTATGTGTAAAAAAAAAAAAAAACAAAAAACATAAATATATAAAAATGTGAAAAAAAAATGTTTTTAAATTGTAATTTTTGGTTCTAAACTAATTTTGGGTTATAATTAAATTTTGGCCAAGTTTTATGAAGAAATATTATTTATTTGCAAAATTTTATAAGAAAAACTTTTTTTTTTTCAAAATCTTTGGACTTTCATTTATATAGCAAAAAAATAAAAACCCCGGTGGTGAACAAATACCACCAAAATAAAGCTTTATCTGTCTCAAAAAAATGCAAAATATTTCATATGGGTACAGTGTTCCATGATCGTGCAATTGTCATTCAAAGTGTGATAGCGCCGTCTATAGCAAACTGTAACCATTGGCTCCTACTGCTGTCAATCACAGCCAGTCAGCCAATGAGGAGAGAGGGGGAGGGTCCAAGTCATAGCTGTGTGTGTGAATGCACACATGGAGCAGCATCATGGGAACACGCCTGCTCGGGTGCCCCAACAGAAAGGAGGAGCCAGGAATGCTAGTGGGGACCCGAGAAGAAGAGGATCCAGGCTGAACATAGCAAAAAGTAGAACGTGTTTATTATCCTAAAGAAAAAAAAAAAGCTAACCTAGAGTATCGCTTTATAGGATAAGTTCACCTTTTGAACAAAAATAAATGCACATTTTTTTTACAGGTAAAAAATATGCATTTATTATTTTTTTATCCAGAGGGGCCTGTAGAGCATTACACCAGCGATTAGTAGATTGCTAATGCCATGCAGATCTCCTGCAGACCTGTCAGAATATCTGCTTCCCGTACAGAATGTATGAGCAAGCAGATATACTGACAGGAAGCTTCAATGAATTACTACGGTGCTCCACAGCGCTGTGATAGTTAATTGAAAACTTCAAGCCCACAGCCGCTAATGCAGGTCATAGACGGGTCGAACATCGTCCGATTTTTCGAACGATAAACAAAAAACCGGTCATTCGTTCGACCAACGTTACCACCAACGCTGAAAAAAATCGGGCAACTAAATCATAAAGTTCACCCCATAACTGCTGTCCCTTGCAGGTCACTGCTCATGCGCCAATTTGTTATCGTTAAAACGGTCGGATGATTTTGCCATCATTGCCGGGAAAATCGGCCGATCGTCCAAATTGGCTGCGAATTTTCCAACATGATCGAAAATCTCAAAGTGCAAAAAACCCAAAAAATGGCCGACCAATTAACCCACTAACAGTGCGAAAATCGGCCAATTTGTTTTTTTTTTTCCCGCCCAATTTTGAAACCGTCTATGGCTGGCATTAGGCTGTCGGGACTTGTTGGCACTCATTCACGGAACACTGTGAATGAGTGATGTGAACGTGTGTGGGCTGTCAAATCTGACAGCTAGTACGGGGAGAAGTTTCCCCATACTGTCTGTCAGAGGGAGGGGGGAGACGTGGCTGAACCTATGGGCACATTTTACATGGTCCGCCCTAAAAACAGGTGGAACATGTAACATGTTCCAAAGGTGAACTTATCCTTTAAGTTGTAACTAAAGGCACGAGTGACCCTGGTGACAAACAGGGATTCCCTCACTTTGGAAGGATTTCCTCTTATTTCCTGTTGTGGCTATGGGACAGAATGTGAAAGGGAAGCTCCATAATGGGACACAGAAGATGGCAAAAGTACCTGACAAGGGTTATAACCCTCCTTTTACTCTATACCAAAAAAGTCTTTCCTCCAGTTCCACTTTTAGCCCGGGTTTACACCAATGCGGTGCAGGAAACGTTGCAAATCCTGTGCGTGTCCCGCACTGCATTGCAGTCGCATCGCGTTGATGCGAGCTGGCGCGGGTGTCAATGATTAATGACACCCAGAAACAGATTGCAAAACATGATGCGATTGCCAGAATTTGCATGGGTGAGAACACCCATCCGATGCGATTCAGGTGTTGCCATACAAAATTCCTTTGGAAATTACTTGCAGTGTCCCGCACTGCATAGTGTGAACCTGGACTTGAGTGCAAAGATATTAGAGGGGGTTTTCTTGTGTTTGATTGTTGCGGTATGCCTGCTATACTAGACTTTTCTGTAGCTTTGGGATCTGCTACTTAAAGATTTTTTGTTTCAGGTTGTATTGATTTTAGGAATACTGTGATTTGTATCTTGGCAATCGTGCACTTATGACTTTAGAGATGCAGTAGTTGTGCTGTAGTTAACATTGTTCATATTTAGAATTTATATATTAAATCTCTGTAGATGCAGTAAAAAGTGTTATTGGTGCATGTTTTCACACTTCCTCTGCTTGGCCCTGTAAAAATTCCAGATCTTTTGAGTTGTAAAACAAATCACAAGATAAATCACTTCTGAATTTTTTCCACCTTTTTAATGTAACCTATAACATGTGCAATTCAATTAACAAATTGAAAAATAAAAGTGCACTTACAATAACATGGTTGCATAAATATGCACACCCTTAAACTAATACTTTAAAGAGATTGGGGTTAGAACCCATGCCATGCATTTGCCACTATCAAGGGCTCATTGACACAGGTGTTACCCCCTGAAGAGCGAGGGATTACTTTTCACAGGGAGTTTGACAGATGGGAAATAGGTGAGATGTTCTGTTTTCACCTCCTATTTTAACTCCCAAAAGCCTACATCACCATGCCGCAACTGTGTGCTTTGCATGCATTTGTAGGGTCAATGCAGCATAGCACTATTCACTTGACTATGTACGGCTGCCACTGCAGGTTACTGGGGCCCTTAAGAAGATTTACTATGGTTTCCTGTCCTGAGAATGGTTTCACCAAACAAGAAATGAGGGAAAATCTGCAACATGGACAGAAATAATGACAAGGTTTCTAGATTTCCTCTACAACTTAAGGAAAATGTATTTCCTCTATGTTGCTGTTGCAGATTCTCCTTGCATACTGTCAGGTAAAACGCTGTCAGCAGGGCAGGAGGTGATGGTAAGTGTCTGTAACAGCAGATAGAACTGGATCGCAGTAAAAACATGGGAGAGATTCTAACCTACTTCCACTATTTTTAAAACTAGGAAAAACAAGTTATCACTGGGCTTACACTTCTCCCAGCATTTATCTAGAATAGTGTTTCTCAACCTTTTTTCAGTCAAGGCACCCATAAAAATTGACAGTCCTGAGGCACCCTTTAAAATTATGGACAGTCTTGAGGCACCCCATTCTAAAAAGTGAAAAACTATTCTAATAGATTTATATAATGCAGCAACATTCACACATGTAGGACACCCAACATTAGAGGTGATTTATTCTTCCAAAGCAAATATGCTTTTTGTTCACTGGAACCGACTAGTATGCAATGTTTCTCCTCTCCCTCAGTTTTTTTCCATCACAAAGCTAATGTGACCCCAGCAGTTATGGAGAAGGGGCAGGGGAGGGTCAAACTAGGATGCTGTGCTGGCAACCGACACTTTCCTTATCAACTGATGATGTAATTGGCTGTCGGGATGCCAGCGGCTGGAAGGTCAAAATGGTGCACAATGAAACCTGTGGCATTGTAACTAAAAGGCCGGCTTGTTCAACCTGCTGGCTTCTATACAAGTTTTGGGCAATTTTTAGACATTTTGCCAAGGCACCCCTGAAGAAACCTTAAGATGCCCCAGGGTGCCTGGGCACCCTGGTTGAGAAAAGCTGATCTAGAACACACTACAGGTTAAGTAGATGTCTAATGCAATGGAACCTATGCATGATGCATATACCTGTGATGATACTTACAACTCTGGAAATGCATAAAGTTCAGAAAGGGATGGTATTCATCTTGGTGCAGTACTTAATATACCACAACATGCGCTCTACAATGTTGAAGTGTCAAAGAGGCCTATTCATTTTGACTAAAAATCACAGTACTTTATTTATTTATTTTTTTGCTGTGTGTTGTGCCTTTGTTCCTGCAGTGTGCTAAGTGTGAATGAGCTCTGAAACGGGATTGCATGTTTTTATGGTGTATTGAAATGCTTTTCTGACATGTTTTCCCAGAGAAGAAAACAATGTGTCTAAGCATAAAAATTCAAGCATAGTAGTCTTTGTAAACCACAGGCTGAAGTTTTTAAAAAGTGTAAAATTCGAAATGCATAGATGAAATCTGTACCATAGAAAGCAATGCTGTAGAACTCTTAATGCATTCTAAATACAACTTCAGGTATGGAATAACAAGCATAAAGTGCAAAGTTGTTAGGTTTCTGAAGGGTGGGTATGTTTAAATGAGAAAAGTAAAACAAATTGTTTGATAGGAATAAGTCGAAATTTATGTTTTACGTGTTAGAGGCTCCTTTTTTTTTTAAGCTCCTAGAAGCTATTAGCATTTTTTCTGCTCCTAGAAGCTAAATAGTGTTATCCTATGTGTTCATGCACACTATTTTAGGCTAATAGCATTTTTTGACCTTCAACATCTAGGAGCAGAAAAAAACTATTTTGTAGAGTTTTTTTTTTTTTTTTTGAGCATTTTTCCTGCAGAAAAAAACAGCTGAATGCTCCTAACAGCGTTTTATTAGCAGTTTTACAGCACAGAAAAAAAAAAAAAGCCAATGCTCCTAAATGCTACTATTGGCTGGCACAAAAACGCTATTATCCATGTTTTTCATCCAGTGTTTTTTTTTTTTTTGTCTAGCTTTTTTTGAGCTTATAAAAAAACACAAGTGTGCATGAAGCCAGAATGTTGGCCTTCCTGTAGTGTTCGGTGCTGTGCTTGTCACCAGCTTAATTAGACAAAGTGATATAGCAAAAATCAGTCTGAGGGGCAGTGCATAGATTTAGCATGGGGTGCTTTATTGAACTTCTTGGTTTGTAATGGCTCTATAAAAATGTGGATGTGGAAAAATGTAATCATATACAATATTTTGGCAATGCAGACCTACATTTAGCAGCAATA